GACTGCTTTTGGCCGTTTTGAGTTTAGCTTCATAGTCATTCTATGAAGTTACTCTCATAGTGGTGCCTTGTGGTTTACCTTTCCCTTCCAGTGTATTTCTCATGGGGGCCTGAACTCATTCCACTGAGCCAGACTCTTATGCAACCTGAGGTTGATCACTTCACCGTATTTATTTCCAATATTGCAATTTTTTGGAGGAGGGGGGCATGTGAGAATATCGTTTTCTGATAAGACAAGTCAATGGGGCTAGTCAGTGTATTTGAGTTTGCCTCTTCCAAATGTGATGGAATCCCAATGGAGCAATTCACCATAGTTGTTGTGAGAATATGCCCCTGCCTGCCTGTTTTTGACAGCAGAGATAGGAGTGGCCATGTGTGACATCACAAGAAACTTGAGACCATCATTTTGAACAGCCCTCCCTTTTAGTGCCTTTTCCTCTACATGTGCTCCCACCCTAACACTCTCCCTTTCCCCTAAGCAGATACTCTCTGTTCTTTCTTCTTGTCTCTAAACTCAGGCCAATTACAACTGGGCAAAACAACACCTTGGTCAAGAAAACATATATTTTTCTCAGGACACACTTCACTATCTCTCTGTCTTCTTTGAAACTATACATTCTCTGCATTAGAAGGTAAGAGGACCTTTCTTCTGCTCTATGTATTGCCGTGCCACGTGTGGGTCATATGAAGTACTTTACAAGAAGGGTTAAATACCATGGGAATTCCACTGATCCACATCAGTAAGGTTTGTTGTGAGGTAGCGTTTGTGGAACTTGTCATTATCGGTTGAACTACTTGATTTTCTTGACTTCCACAACATATTGAAGTATTAAGTCTTTTTTTCCTTATTCATGATTGGGAATGTTTTCCTGAGCAGTTTCATGTGTGGATTTTTGACCATTTTTCGTTGTCAGCTTTTGCAGCTTTCAAAAGCCCTTTTATTTCTACCAATATGGATTGAGTAGGTGGGTGTCAAATGACCTGTTGGAAGACTGGTCTGAATATACCCATGTGGAAAGTTTACAGACAGACACAGTGTGATAAGTTGAGTGAGCTCATGAGAGTAACGACACCAACTGACAGTGAATTTAGTGGCCACTGTCTCTTTCTTTGTGTGACTGACACTGTATTCAGGAAATTGCTCAGAACAGCAGTTTACTGTTTTGTAATGTGAATCATACAACCCAACACAACAGTATCTCGGATCATGATCTAATTCTTTGTCTGTAAATGCAAACCCCCGTTGACCGAAATGTCACAGTATGTTTTTAACTATGGATCTATAATAAACTCTATTGTTATAATGGAGATAGTTTCTACTGGTCACTAGTGTCTAATGGAGTGTCTTCGAATACAGTTGTTTGAGCACGAAACCCCCTTTTCCCCTTTGTCCATTAATACAATAATCAGTTGATCCTACTGTACCATTGGATACCTTAATTTATAGCTGTTCCTCAAAAAGAATTTACCCAATCTCATACATTGTTTATTTACCCAATCAATTTGCTTATCCACTAACCTCAATGTCAACAGTGTACAACTACACCTAACTCCAGGACTATTGCTAAAGCATAACAACCTCTCAATTGGACAATGTAAAGCAAGAAAAAATGTGGAAGTTATTACACAATATGTAATGTATACACCCCTTTATTGCACAGAAAAAGTGTGTCAGAGAGTGTTTTATGTGATGTGCTCTGTTGCCATATACTTTCCCTTTTTTTCAGGCACATTTGTTTCCTTCACTCACTCAGAAACTCAGCCTTGGTATCATATAAATAGTTTAATACTAGATACAGTAACAGAGGGAAGTTGCCACCATCGCAATTGGATGAATCAAAATGGACACAGAGAAATCTAGATAGATTCACATTCACACAAGACATAGTCAACATATGAAAATGTCCCATCTTTCCAAACTAGCATCAGATGGTGGTACATATTTGTGGGTCCTCTGTTGGCCGAATGCAGGATTCAACAGGCTTTTCTCAGCCAAAACTTACAGGACATTTTCTTCCCATTACAAATTAGGCTATGTGTTTTCTGATAGGTCAGTCAATAATACATCAGATAAGAAACCTAGCTAGTTTTCCTTTTTAGCGAAATCTTAAAACATATATTTTATCGGAAATTATAGATGGTTTCCATACCACTCTAATTTTAGACAATTGCATTTTTTACCTGAGATCACACATTTGATTTACACTATCGGACATCTTTCTTCACTCAGAGAGGACTTCCTGGCCGTATTGGTTGCCGACCACTATGGCTTCCTAAAACATCCAACATAAACATCAGAATAAGACTACATTTCAACGAAAGAGCCTTGTGATATAGATAATGTGTTCAAAAATAGGTGGCGTGTGTGTGTGTGTGCTTGCGAGTCTAGGTGTGTGTGCATGTGTGTGAATGGGTCATCAGTGCATGTATGTGTGTGTTTGCTTGTAGTGGTGGTGGTTGTGTGTTGATTTCAACAGAGACATTTTGTGTTGGTGCGAAGTGAGAACAGAGCATAAAGGCATATTCTGGAGTTTGATTCCCAAAATGCAATGCAAGTATGGGCTTGCCCGATAGTTCACGTTCAATCACAACAACGTGGCTGTCATAAAAAAAAAACATTTGGGTAAGGTAAAAAACGTATTTCCAGGGGCTGTTAATATATTGGAATAAATATAGGGAATAAGGAGAGAATTAGCAAGGAGAAAAATCCCACACGGAATGTAGCAATGTAGAAATGTGAAAAGGAAGAGAGACAGAGAAAGGAATGTTGGTGAAATGGGTGTAGGAACAGCAGACTGACACCTACTCTAGTCTGCAGGAACCAATGGGAGCTGAACACTACCAGAATCTATGTTTGGGAGTTATTTCTTTCCACTGAACTGGTGTGATTTCACATGTGGCTTTTCTAAATGCTGGTGTCCTGTCCAATAAGCTTTAGGCTCTGCAAATAGATTCAACTTTTGTCTTAATCCTATCTTGTAAGATCTGGCCTTTGGTCAGTATCTCGTCACTATCCAGTATTCCCGTCAGCTTTTCACTCTGTAGTCTTAGGCAGTGGCAAATGAGGACATGGAAAGAAAACGGATTCCTTGAATTATGGTTTGGCATCTTTGTCGTAAGAACAAATGAGAGGCACACTACCATAAATCACACTGGCTTTCAAACAGAGCTGCTCTATGATATTTTAATGTAATATAGGTAACATTTATCACTTTAGGTTTGGCTAAAGTGGTATTATTGATATAGAAACTAGAGTTGGCCCATAGGGTAGAATTGAGGTACAATTTACCCATATCAAAGTACTGTACACTTAGTATGGGTCATCTTCAGAAGTCACATTCTGACGAATCATCCAATGTCTTAGGGTATGTAGGGTGCCCGCTACCTGAATCGCATTTGAAAAGCGTGTGATGCATCATGTGATGGCAGAGTGAGTCGACCCATTATCAAAATCGTGTTTGACATTATGGGTTACAAGGCTGAGATCTCCAGCAACTGGTGGGGAGTTGCAGCTGGTAAAAACCTGGACTGGCTCCAAACTGCAGCTTTGGAGCCAGTGAGCCACGTATCCATCTCAGGGGTTAGGAAAAATTCTGGCGTGCATATAAATGTGAATTCCAACATCCCACATCACTTGTGTTATAAAACACATCTCTCTAGAGGGTCATTGGGTTCAGCAGTGCAACACAGTTTGTAAGAAGCAGTCATGTTTTCTATGGTAAAGGTCAAACAGAAAAGCTTACTTTCAAAAGCACTATGATGTATGGCGGCTTTTATCCAAGATATTTAGGTTTTACTTTCCTGCCATAATGAAATATACAGAAATGTTGTGTGGGGGTAGCAAATAACATTAGTTATGATTTAAGCATAGGCATACATTTTGAAAGTTGAGTTTTCTTTGGCTAGTCAGACCATATGTTTCTGAATAAAAATACTATTGTCTGTAATACAGCACACTGAGAACAAAAGTAGCCTAGCTATAAGATAATCAAATACAACATTGCCTTGGCTGTGGGCCAACACAACTCACTAGGCTTGATAAAGGGCCACGTGCCTTATCTTCTTGTATAATTATTGTGTCAATGTATCAGAAGCCGTTATGTAAGCAGCCTCATATGACACTATTTGTTCAGCAAATTGTGATATTTATTGTTTGCCAATTTTGTCTGTACTGACATCAAATCACAGCTGGCACCTCAGTTGGCATAGGGCTGGTATGTTTTGTCTCAATGAATAACATTGAAGTCCCGCCAAACCAGTGTCTTACCCTACAGTAGCACTGCAGTGGAGATGGACAAGAGTGAAATCCAAAACCAACAATACCAGGAATTCCTTGAAAAAGAGACGAATGGCACTTACCTGGATAAATAAAATATAGATAAATAACAGTGCGCCACAAAGTCTGTGTTCACAACAAAGTCTGTGATGACAACACAGTGCTTCCAGGTATTGGTAATGGATGCCGTTATTAAGTTTATTAGCATCTTCTATTGGAAGGAATTCAAAAGTAGTCAGAAGTCTCATTACTGGCATTGCAACCTGAGCTGTCAAATGGTCAAATGAAATGACACGTGCAAGGAGAGAGTGGTGCTATAGATTCCTCTGGTGGGAAGCAGACATGTGGTCCCACAGTGACAGTAGACACCTTGACAACTCCCACAGTTACCCTAGAGCAGGGCTCTCCAACCCTTTTCCTGGAGAGCTACCCTAATCTTGCGCACCTGATTCTAATAATTAACTGGTTGATAAGCTGAATCAGGATAGTTACAACTGGGGTTGGAGTGAAAACATACAGGAGGGTAGCTCTCCAGGAACAGGGTTGGAGAGCCCTGCCCTAGAGTCTAGGCTTTGCGACGTGCAAATTCCCCAAACCGTTTTCATTGTATGTCAAACCTGACTGTACAGTTTTTCGTCTATCATCTTGAATGACATGCAAACGATAACTTGCTAATTTATCTAAGGTCAATCTTCTTCTCTTTGTTTCAGATTGGAACTCTAGCCTCCTCTAGTTTTCTAGTAAAGAACCATCAGTCACACCCAGCCGTCTTTGTATCAGCCAAAACAATATGGAACTCCAAAAGCTATCAAATGGCCACCACCATGGCTTTGTCCCTTTGGAAGATGAGTATGTGTCCTCTTTGACTGCACATATTGCTAACTGGCATGCATGATAATATAGTTCCCCCAGTTGTGTGCATGATAGTATTTTTATTATAAAAAGGCCACCAAGATTCCACAAATTCGTGTATTTGTGTTTATTTTCTGACAAATAAGACTATTACCAGTTTATTAGGTACACCACCCCATTCATGAAAATGGTTCGCTCCTTCAGATAGTGAGTCACGTGGCCATGGCTTGCTATATAAAGCAGGCAGACATGCATCGAGGCATTCAGTTACCGTTCGATTGAACGTTAGAATGGGCAAAACGAGTGACCTAAGTGACACTGAGCATGGTATGATTGTCGGTGCCAGGCGCGCCGGTTCCAGTATCTCAGAAACAGCCGGCCTCTTGGGCTTTTCACGCATGACAGTGTCTAGGGTTTGAATGGTGCGACAAACAAAAAACATCCAGTCAGCAGCAGTCCTGTGGACAAAAACAGCTTGTTGATGAGAGGTCGGGGGAGAATCGTGCAAGCTAACAGGCGGGCCACAAACAGGCAAATAACAATGCAGTACAACAGTGGTGTGCAGAACGGCATCTCGGAATGCTCAACTCATCGGTCCTTGTCACGGATGGGCTATTGCAGCAGACGACCACACCGGGTTCCACTCCTATCAGCTAAAAACAAGAAGAAGCAGCTCCAGTGGGCACGCGATCACCAACACTGGACAAGTGGGGAGTGGAAAAACATTGCCTGGTCTGATGAATCCCAGTTCCTGTTGCGTCATGCTGATGGCAGAGTCAGGATTTGGCGTAAGCAGCATGAGTCCATGGCCCCATCCTGTCTGGTGTCAACGGTACAGGCTGGTGGTGGTGGTGTAATGGTGTGGGGAATGTTTTCCTGGCACACGTTAGGTCTCTTGATACCAATTGATCAATGTTTCCATGCCCCAAAGAATTCAGGCTGTTCTGGAGACAAAGGGGCTCCAACCCGGTACTAGATAAACTGGCCACTGAGTGTATATTTTATATACCTGGAAAAAGACCTGTGAAAACTAGCTTTTTGTAAATAATAGTTTTTACATTTTAACGTTTTTACATTGATGCATTTGAAACATTTAAATTGATACAGTACTCCTTAATGAACAGCATTTTCAAGCACCCAATGGATTATAATGATGCTTTGCTTGGCTGATGTTGGACATTGATGAACATGAGTGTTGTTTAACCTCATTGTTTTCTATTTCCTTGGTTTGATTGACATAATAGCATCCCACAGGCGGAAGAAGAAGAGGAGATGTTACCACATAAGAGTGATGGGACCAAGAAGCCCCAGTTTACAGATGTGAGTATGAAGAACTATGGTAACAGCTTTGGAGCCAGCAGTCATCGTTTTTATGCTGATATGTCATGAAATGCCATTATGAGGAGTTATAACAACTGACATTCATGTCTTTGTATCCTTGGCAGTTTGAGGGGAAAACCTCTTTCGGAATGTCCGTCTTTAACCTCAGTAACGCCATCATGGGGAGTGGAATTCTGGGATTGTCGTACGCCATGTCAAACACAGGCATCATTCTCTTTATGTGAGTACAGCAGCACACGCTGTGTCCCTATGTGATTCCCTGAAGTGACAACAGTCAACCCACTGGGCAAAGACGTCAATTCAACAATTATTCCACGTTGGTTCAACGTAATTTTGTTGAATTGACGTGTAAACAATGTTGATTCAACCAGTGTGTGCCCAGTGGGAAATGAGTACACACACACCCACCAAGTTAAATATTAACTTGGCAGGTCAAGATTTGGGGGGAAGGGTTATTTGTCTCGTGTTTCTTTTTTGTCAAAAGGTCACAGATGCAGCTACTCCCAATATGGTTTGATACACACTATTACTGCATAACGCATTGCAACAATGTTACCAAAACAGTACAGTGAAAAGCTGAAAAATATTATATGAAAAATAGTCACTCTAATATTTGACATTTATGGTTATTGAATGGTTAAAAGAACAGTGAAGAAGAGTGGTGTGTGTTGGTGTGTCCATATGTAATTTTAATGGTGAGATTTGAGACACATGCGACTCCTAAATCAAATTTCAGGAGTTAAATATAGCGAAGAGTTGGCAGATGAATCATAGCTTGCATGTGGGCACACCAAATATATGCCTCCCCAGCATGCTTTGCAACCCAGCTCACATTCATGTCAGGGCCAGTCAAGAGTCATAAAAAAAAAAAATGCTTATGAATAAATAATTTGAGCATTGTCCGAATCAAGTTACTATCACAAGAGGCCAGTTTCTTCTTCCAGTGTTTACTTCGTAGTAAACTGTTTGATTAATCTGTGAAGAGGTGGGCTGCCCATGGGATTCATTATTTTAACATTGTCTGAAACCACATGAAATCAATTATGTTGTTTACCTTGCCAAAATGTCTAAGTCAGTTGTTTGTGCTCCCAAGAATCCTGCTGACATGTATCGCCTGTCTGTCCAGCTACTCGGTTCACCTTCTGCTTAAGAGTGCTGGAGTTGTGGGTGAGTATGTGTCACTAAGGACCAGCCCTTGGAATCAAATTAGTAGCTGAATCACAGAGTTTATCATAACAAGATGAGAAAAGTAAACTTTGTGTGAACAAACTTTCCCTTCACATCTGGACCATTGAAAAACCAGTCGTTTTACCCCTTCACAGAAATACCTCGCTTTTTTATAGACAAACCTATAGTAGGGATCCACTATATGAACCAAGCTGTCTGTAAATTAGTAGTTGTAAGTTGCTTTAGATAAAAGTGTACTCTAATGACATGACAGATAGATCCTGTCCCATTTCTACTCTTTCACAGACTAATGCCTATTTTGTCTGTTCAGGTATTCGTGCGTATGAACAGCTGGGATTCCGTGCTTTTGGACACCCAGGAAAAATAGCAGCGGGAGTCATTATAACCTTTCACAACATCGGCGGTAAGTGGCTAGGGGGGCCATGGACTCATGCTGCTTACGCCAAATCCTGACTCTGCCATCAGCATGACGCAACAGGAACCGGGATTCGTTGGACCAGGCAATGGTTTTCCACTCCTCAATTGTCCAGTTTTGGTGATTGGGTGCCCACTAGAACTGCTTCTTCTTGTTTTAGCTGATAGGAGAGGAACCCGGTATGGTCATCCAGTGGTGGAAAAAGTACCCAATTGTCATACTTGAGTCAAAGTAAAGATACCTCAATAGAAAATGTCTGTAGGAGCGAACCATTTTCGTGTACCTAATAAACTGGCCACTGAGTGTATATCCATGTACAGTCCTTCCACTAACACATAGTATCTGTTTTGAAAATAACCACATTGGCACATACAAATGCACTCATGGCTTCCCAGCACTCATGGATTTCATGACTCATAAAAGTTTTAGTGGTTCAGGAGAGAACGTTTTCCTCCAATGTTTGTGTTTTAAATACAGGTAAAATGGGCTTTGTGTGTCTGTGTTTTCTTTTGATAATAGAAGTCAACAACTCTAAAATATGTTTAATCCCCTCCAGCAATGTCCAGTTACCTCTTCATTGTGAAGTATGAGTTGCCTCTGGTCATTCAAGCCTTCATGGGCTTGTCATCGAACACTGGGTAAGTGGAGCAGCACCTTTCTTTTTTTGTTTAAAAATAATATTTATTTAAGTTTCACATTTTACAATCATAAATAATTAACATAAATACAAATAAACTTTCACATCAATACATTTGAGTTCATAATTACATAACATGATTTACAGGTTTAATAGTATCCATGGACGTTTTTTGGAGTCTTATTTCTTATTTTTTAGTTCTGTTTTGATTTGTAAAAAAAAGTAATATATATAGTGTTTGAACAAAAAACTGTTGTTTTATAGACTTATAGGCATCTTGTCTTCCAAATTGTGCTTTTCACAATGCATATTATCGTCAACAATATTTGTTTAGTAATGTAAATGCATATTATTGTCCACCATACTTCTTTAGTAATGTCATCTATGTGAATATCGAAGACAGACTTGGGATTTATACATAGGTCAACATCATAATTCTCATCAGATTCCATATTTCTTTAGTTTTGTAGTATTTCACTAGGAGGCGTTTTAATTTCTCTTCATCATGACAAAACAACTCCACTTTACTACAGCACGCACTGGTAAACATCGTACTGAAATCAATAAGGCTTAGTATCTCTGACATTTTCTGACAGTTCTGGACAGAGTAGATTTTTTTATACATTATTTTGTACCTGCATGGGTCAGGTTGCGGTATGTACTGAAGCCCGTTCCTGCCACCCACATTTTTAAAATCTGACTTCGAGTTATGAGATAGTAAGTCATAACTATGAGATACTAAGTCATAATAACGTGATACAAAGTCATAATTATGAGATAGTAAGTCATATTTATGAGATAGTAAGTCATTATTATGAGATACGTAATGGCATATTATATTATTATTAGTAGATAGTATGTTTGGATCATGGACATTGAATAGTCCTGTAGGTCGACTGGAGGGTCATCTGGGATTCAAACATTAACAAAGCATTGTTCCCGCCACTTTATTTGGTAAACAGCTGAGGAATGAGGCAGGTGAAATGTAACTACTCTCAAATACATAGATGCAAGGACTCTCTCATATGGATTTTGATCTCATGGACTGACCATCCATGAGATCAAAACAATGTTTTGAAGCTATACAGCATTTGTTTACAATTACATTGTCTACAAACAATGAAGTAAAACAAGCTTATATTTTGGATTCTGAAGGAGTAAGACTGTTGCTCATGAGGCATTTCTAAGTTACATTCTTCAAGAATCAGTGGCTATATATAAGTCCAAAAATGGATGTACCAGTCCCAGATTGCCCCTGTAATGGATTGAATTGAATTAATTAAATCTGATGTCAACCAGATGTCATCAAACAGGTACCAACTCACATCAAAAAAGCTCTCCAATACATAATATAGAACAATATCACCACCAACTCTCTCTCTCTCTCTCTCTCTCTCTCTCTCTCTCTCTCTCTCTCTCTCTCTCTCTCTCTCTCTCTCTCTCTCTCTCTCTTTCTCTCTCTCTCTCTCTCTCTCTCTCTCTCTCTCTCTCACACACACACACACACGTGATTCATGTGATACAAATTGCCTAAACGTATCTCATAATAATGACTTACTAACTCATTATTATGACTTACTATCTGATAACTTACTATCTCATAATGACTTAGTAACTCATAATTATGACTTAGTATCTCATTACTATGACTTTGTATCTCATAATTATGTCTTAATATCTAATTATTATGAGTTACTATCTCATAATTATGACTTACTATCTCATAATAACGACTTACTACCTCATAATTATGACTTAGTATCTCATTATTATGACTTTGTATCTCATAATTATGTCTTAATATCTCATTATTATGAATTACTATCTCATAATTATAACTTGCTATCTCATAACTCGTAGTCAGATGTTCTTGTTTAGGTGGTGGAAACAGGCTTCCATATACAGTCGTGGTCAATGTTTTTGAGGATGACACAAGTATTGGTCTTCACAAAGTTCGCTGCTTCAGTGTTATGAGATATTTTTGTCAGATGTTACTATGGTTTACTGAAGTATAATTACAAGCATTCCATAAGTGTCAAAGGCTTTTGTTGACAATTACACTAAGTTTATGCAAAGAGTCAATATTTGCAGTGTTGACCCTTCTTTTTCAAGACTTCTGAAATCCACCCTGGCATGCTGTCAATTAACTTCTGGGCCACATCCTGACTGATGGCAGCCCATTCTTGCATAATCAATGCTTGGAGTTTGTCAGAATTTGTGGGTTTTTGTTTGTCCACCCGCCTCTTGAGGATCGACCACAAGTTCTCAATGGGATTAAGGTCTGGGGAGTTTCCTGGCCATGGACCCAAAATGTCGATGTTTTGTTCCCCGAGCCACTTAATTATCACTTTTGCCTCCATCATGCTGGAAAAGGCATTGGTCGTCACCAAACTGTTCTTGGATGGTTGGGAGAAGTTGCTCTCGGAGGATGTGTTGGTACCATTCTTTATTCATGGCTGTGTTCTTAGGCAAAATTGTGAGTGAGCCCACTCCCTTGGCTGAGAAGCAACCCCACACATGAATGGTCTCAGGATGCTTTACTGTTGGGATGACACAGGACTGTTGGTAGCACTCACCTTGTCTTCTCCGGACAAGGTGTTTTCCGGATGCCCCAAACAATCGGAAAGGGGATTCATCAGAGAAAATGACTTTACCCCAGTCCTCAGCAGTCCAATCCCTGTACCTTTTGCAGAATATCAGTCTGTCCCTGATGTTTGTCCTGGAGAGAAGTGGCTTCTTTGCTGCCCTTCTTGACACCAGGCCATCCTCCAAAAGTATTCGCCTCACTGTGCGTGCAGATGCACTCATACCTGCCTGCTGCCATTCCTGAGCAAGCTCTGCACTGGTGGTGCCCCGATCCCGCAGCTGAATCAACTTTAGAAGACGGTCCTGGCGCTTGCTGGACTTTCTTGGGCGCCCTGACGCCTTCTTCACAACAATTGAACCTCTCTCCTTGAAGTTCTTGATGATCCGATAAATTGTTGATTTAGGTGCAATCTTACTAGCAGCAATGTCCTTGCCTGTGAAGCCCTTTTTGAGCAAAGCAATGATGACTGCACGTGTTTCCTTGCAGGTAACCATGGTTAACAGAGGAAGAACAATGATTTCAAGCACCACCCTCCTTTTAAAGCTTCCAGTCTGTTATTCTAACTAAATCAGCATGACAGAGTGATCTCTAGCCTTGTCCTCGTCAACACTCTCACCTGTGTTAACGAGATAATCACTGACATGATGGCAGCTGATCCTTTTGTGGCAGGGCTGAAATGCAATGGAAATGTTTTTTGGGATTAAGTTCATTTTCATGGCAAAGAGGGACTTTGCAATTAATTGCAATTCATCTGATCACTCTTCGTGACATTCTGGAGTATATGCAAATTGCCATCATCAAAACTGAGGCAGCAGACTTTGTGAAAATGTGTATTTGTGTCATTCTCACAACTTTTGACCACGACTGTACACTACCGTTCAAAAGTTACGGGTCACTTAGAAATGTCCTTGTTTTCGAAAGAAAATCAATTTTTTTGTAACATCAAATTGATCAGAAATACAGTGTAGACATTGGTAATGTTGTAAATGGCTATTGTAGCTGGAAACTGGCCTTCTTGAGACTAGTTGATTATCTGGAGTTTCAGCAATTGTGGGTTCGATTACAGGCTCAAAATGTCCAGAAACAAATAACTTTCTTCTGAAACTCGTCAGTCTATTCTTGTTCTGAGAAATGAAGGCTGTTCCAGGCGAGAAATTGCTTAAGAAACTGAAGATCTCGTACAACGCTGTGTACAGAACAGCGCAAACTGGCTCTAACCAGAATAGAAAGAGGAGTGGGAGGACCCGGTGCACAACTGAGCAAGAGGACAAATACATTAGTGTCTAGTTTGAGAAACAGACGCCTCACAGGTCCTCAACTGGCAGCTTCATTAAATAGTACCCGCAAAACACCAGTCTCAACGTCAACAGTGAAGAGGCGACACCGGGATGCTGACCTTCTAGGCAGAGTTGCAAAGAAAAAGTAATATCTCAGACTGCCCATCTTAATCTTTTCTTTTTATTGGACAGTCTGAGATATGGTTTTTTCTTTGCAACTCTGGCTAGAAGGTCAGCATCCTGGAGTCGCCTCTTCACTGTTAACGTTGAGACTGGTGTTTTGCGGGTACTATTTAATGAAGCTGCCAGTTGAGGACCTGTGAGGCGTCTGTTTCTCAAACTAGACACTAATGTATTTGTCCTCTTGCTCAGTTGTGCACCGGGGCCTCCCACTCCTCTTTCTATTCTCGTTAGAGCCAGTTTGCGCTGTTCTGGGACCACGCAGCCGTCATACCGCTCAGGAAGGAGACGCGTTCTGTCTCCTAGAGATGAATGTACTTTGGTGCGAAAAGTGCAAATCAATCCCAGAACAACAGCAAAGGACCTTGTGAAGATGCTGGAGAAAACAGGTACAAAAGTATATATACACAGTAAAACGAGTCCTATATTGACATAACCTGAAAGGCTGCTCAGCAAGGAAGAAGCCACTGCTCCAAAACCGCCATAAAAAAGCAGGTAGCTTAGTGGTTAAGAACGTTGTGCCAGTAACCGAAAGGTCGCTGGTTCTAATCCCCGAGCCGACTAGGTAAAAAAAAAAAACTTGAGCAAGGCACTTAACCCTAATTGCTCCTGTAAGTCGCTCTGGATAAGAGCGTTTGCTAAATGACTAAAATGTAAATGTAAATGTAATGAAAGTACTTTGGTGCGAAAATTACAAATAAATCCTAGAACAACAGCAAAGGACCTTGTGAAGATGATGGAGGAAACAGGTACAAAAGTTTCTATATCCACAGTAAAACGAGTCCTATTTCGACATAACCTGAAAGGCCACTCAGCAAGGAAGAAGACACTGTTCCAAAACCGCCATAAAAAAGCCAGACTACGGTTTGCAACTGCACATGGGGACAAAGATCTTACTTTTTGGAGAAATGTCCTCTGGTCTGATTAAACAAAAATAGAACTGTTTGGCCATAATGACCATTGTTATGTTTGGAGGAAAAAGAGGTAGGCTTGCAAGCCGAAGAACACCCTCCCAACCGTGAAGCACGGGGGTGGCAGCATCATGCTGTGGGGGTGCTTTGCTGCAGGAGGGACTGGTGCACTTCACAAAATAGATGGCATCATGAGGAAGGAAAATTATGTGGATATATTGAAGCAACATCTCAAGACATCAGTCAGGAAGTTAAAGCTTGGTCGCAAATGGGTCTTCCAAATGGACAATGACCCCAAGCATACTTCCAAAGTTGTGGCAAAATGGCTTAAGGACAACAAAGTGAAGGTATTAGAGTGGCCATCACAAAGCCCTGACCTCAATCCTATAGAAAATATGTGGGCATTACTGAAAAAGCGTGTGCGAGCAAGGAGGCCTACAAACCTGACTCAGTTATACCAGCTCTGTCAGGAGGAATGGGCCAAAATTCACCCAACTTATTGTGGGAAGCTTGTGGAAGGCTACCCGAAACGTTTGACCGAAGTTAAACAATTTAAAGGCAATGCTACCAAATACTAATTGAGTGTATGTAAACTTCTGACCCACTGCGAATGTGATGAAAGAAATAAAAGCTGAAATAAATAATTCTCTCTACTATTATTCTGACATTTCACATTCTTAAAATAAAGTGGTGATCCTAACTGACCTAAGACAGGGAATTTTTACTAGGATTAAATGTCAGGAATTGTGAAAAACTGAGTTTAAATGTATTTGTCTAAGGTGTATGTAAACTAACGACTTGAACTGTACTATAATTACTGAATATCTCATACATACAGCGCATTCGGAAAGTATTCAGACCCCTTCCCTTTTTCCACATTTTGTTACCTTACAGCCTTATTCTAAAATTGATTAAATTAAATGTTTTCCTTATCAATCTACACACAATACCCCATAATGACAAAGCAAAAACAGGTTTTTAGAAATGTTTGCAAATGTATAAAAATACATTTAAAAAAATACCTTATTTACATATGTCATAAGTATTCAGACCCTTTGCTATGAGACTCGAAATTGAGCTCAGGTGCATCCTGTTTCCATTGATCATCCTTGAGATGTTTCTACAACTTGATTGGAGTCCACCTGTGGTAAATTCAATTGATTGGACATGATTTGGAAAGACACACACCTGTCTATATAAGGTCCCACAGTTAACAGTGCATGTCAGAGTAAAAACTAAGCCATGAGGTCGAAGGAATTGTCCGTAGAGCTCCGAGACAGGATTTTGTCGAGGCACAGACCTGGGGAAGGGTACAAAAAAATGTCTGCAGCACTGAAGGTCCCCATGAACACAGTGGCCTCCATCATTCTTAAATAGAATAAGTTTGGAACCACCCAGACTCTTCCTAGAGCTGGCCACCCGGCCAAACTGAGCAATCGGAGAGAAGGGCTTTGGTCGGGGAGGTGACCAGAGCGCCAGAGTTCATCTGTGGAGATGGGAGAACCTTCTAGAAGGACAACCATCTCTGCAACACTCCACCAATCAGGCCTTTATGGTGGAGTGGCCAGACGGAAGCCACTCCTCAGTAAAAGGCACATAACAGCCCGCTTTTTTAATACATTTGCAAACATTTCTAAAAACCTGTTTTTGCTTTGTCATTATAGGGTATTGTGTGTAGATTGATGAGGGGAAAAAAACAATTTAATTCATTTTAAAATAAGGCTTTAACAACAAAATGTGGAAAATTTCAAGGGGTCTGAATACTTCCAGAATGTACTGCAAATGACCCTTAGTTTCATAAATGATTGCTTTTTCTTATTTGCATCAGATGCTGTGTATACATTTATCACTCTTATTTTCGTTCCTCTAAGGAAGCACTCCAATAACAAATAATCAACATCTGCAAAGTCTGTTATTCTAAATTATTTTAGATGTATTTACTTACCTTCTCCTGGGGACTTGGTTTCTCAGCCTGGTCTCATAGACTAGATGTAACATAGTAAATGTATAACTAAGACACTGAGATTAGTATGCTACTGTATGTTATGTTTGGTATGGTTACATAAGACAGAAGGTTATCAAAGGCAAAAACGAAAGTAGGGTTATTGGTAGGGGTGGACAGCTAACATTAGCCACAACAAATTGGATTTCATAACATATCATACAATTTGTAACATATTGTATGTATTGCAATTCGTAACATTTGTACGAATTGCAATTCGTAACATATCAAACGAATTGATGATGGACATCCCCAAATTAATACATACCATACGAAATGTAACATATTGTACTAATTGGAGGATCCCAGATTTACATGTACTATGTTACGTCTACCCCTGAGTCCAGGTTGGGTTTTCATCTTTCTTTTTAACTTGGTTTTGGATTGAGAAGTGTGAACGGTGTTTCACTCCACCTGCTTGAGTGGTGGGCGGAACTAGCTCTGGCAGGGAAGGGAGCAGAGGGGCGGGGGGCAGGGGGGGAGGGAATCGTAGTCATCTCTCTCTTTTCGGGGGTCGGGGAATTAATACTGAAATCTGACTCGCATCCTCAAATGACTCTTCTTCCTCACTCTCACTGCGGCTGAACCTGGAGGATTGGATACTCTCGTTGACACCTTCCTCGGAGATCTGGTCGCCTTCACTTTTGGATTCAGCTCCCTCGGCTTCTCTCTCATTCACTGGCACCTGTCTCTCAGCTGCGCTCGGACCTGTCGCGGGGGGTGGAACTCACTGTCGGGGTCTGTCTCTGTCTCTCTCTCCTCGTCTGTCTCTTCCTCTAGGCTGGATTGGGGACCAACGCTTCACCTATGGGCATTCCTTGCCGTGATGGTCTAGCCCCTGGCAGATGTAACAATGAGGGGCCTGTCCAGGGTAGGAGATCTTCCCGTTGTACGGGACCAGTGAGATTGAGTTACGGATTGTTATCGACTGCCCACTTGTTGTTTCGTGCACGGGCACTTTGTACTTGTGTACTCCATACCATATCCCAAACTTATCCACAGGTTTCACTGCAGGTTGTAAAACCATGAAGTACCTGTTTAGAAACAGTTCGACGACGTGATCTGGAACTTTCAAAGACCATCTTGACGTCCAGGTCAATGGAGGACTCCACTGTCCAGTCTTTCCACTTTGCGGCTGTCTCTTGGGCTGACTGGACTTCTAGGAAGCGGCGTAATGAAGGTTTTTCCTTGAAGACAAGCTCGAAATCTCTCCTGTTCGGCAGTGCAATGAATAAGTAAACATTTGAGATCAAATGTTTCAAATGAGGCGACAGTACAGAATGGCACCTTTTATTTGAGGGTATTTTCATACATATCTGTTTTACTGTTTAGAAATGAAAGTACTTTATGTATCTAGTGTAATAAGTATTTGGACAATGTCACTTATAGGTGTATGGGTATTAAAGTAGTCAAAAGTTGAGTATTTGGTCCCAAATTCCTAGCACACAATGACTACATCAATCTTGTGACTACAGACTTGTGGGATGCATTTGCAGTTTATTTTGGTTGTGTTTCAGATTATGTTGTGCCCAATAGAAATGATTGATAAATAATGTATTGTGTCATTTTGGATTCACTTTTATTGTAAATAAGAATTTAATATGTTTCTGAACACTTCTACATTAATGTGGATGCTACCATGATGAAGGATAATCTTGAATGAATCCTGAATAATGATGAGTGAGAAAGTTACAGAAGCATAAATATTAAACCCCCCCCAAAAAATGCGAACCTCCCCTGTTATTGGTAATGGTGAGAGGTTAGTAAAAGCCTATCTATTTTTCCCTTCAATTACATAAATTGCCCCTAAACAGTATGTTTCCGACATAGTCTACATTGCATGCCTTAATGAAACTGGAAGTAACTAACTTTTGTGTCTGGCTATGTTTTTTGTTTTATTTGTTTATGTTTTAAACTAGAGAGTGGTTCCTGAATGGGAATTACCTCATCATCATCGTCAGTGTGTGCATCATCCTCCCACTTGCCCTGATGAGACAACTGGGTATGTGACTTATCTCATCATGAACTTTCCTAATGGCCGCTAATGACCTCACTGTCTGTCAATCATTCAATCAGCACCTCTTGATTCATATATTCATAAAACAAAACATTTGGATGACTATCTGTTTAGGACCTATTTTAGGTCAGGAGCAGACGTGTTCTGGAAACCAAACGTTGTCAGCTGGGCTGTGGGATGGTTTTTGTTGTTTTTGTTGTAGTAACAATCCTTGGTTGCATCTTGCAGGGTATTTGGGTTATACCAGTGGCTTCTCCCTCACCTGCATGGTCTTCTTCCTTTCCTCGGTGAGTGACATCTGACGACAGATGTCTATATTGTATTATTATATTACACTATATATTACACCAACAATCATACATTTCAATGTTATATACTAATACTGCATATGCTTTTCACCATTTTGGGAATTTTCACAATTTGGGGAAATTAAATTCCTCCTAATGATTTTCTATTGTCTGTTTTTAGTGATTATTTACCCTTGCTAATGTACTAGATGTGTTAATAGTTTTTGTGTTCACAGCTTATCATAGGACATGACTAAAGACTAAAGACTGTGATTCTAATGTGCACTCGACAATTTATGAGGAGATATGTATATCTTGTGCCACTCCACCTCACATGACATTTCATGTGAGCTCCTGTTTCCTAGACTCACTGCCAGCCAGGCCTTGTTGGTGAAATTTGATAACAACATGGATACAGGTGTAGGATCTTAATTTGAGCCAGTTTGCTACTGCAGGAAAATACTGCAGCAACAGGAAATGTGAATTATTATGTGGATTATAATGAATTAACATTTTTGTAAGGGTTGATACATTTTTCGTAAGGGAAAATCTAGCCTGGAATGTCAAAGTAGAAATTACAAATGTCAGAAGTCTTTTTAAACCTCAAATACACTACACATTTTACATTTCCTGCATTGCTTATTAAGATCCTACATCTGTACGTTAACCTTCTGAAATAGGTAATTATCTGATTATGTTGACATACAAGGGAAAAAGGGGGGCAACATTATAAATGAACCATATTCGGCCCAATAATTATTTATATATAGTAAAATGTAAAATCTATAGCTCAACAATTTTATACTATTCAATGTTGTTGAATACTTGAGCACAATCCTAGATTACACTATTGTGCATGTTGTTGCAGTTCTGGGCATTAACAAGTTACTTTTTTAAATGCCTTGCTGCAGAAAGGTACATTATTAATGTAACAAATTCTATCATTGAACTTGATCAATTAGCAAAAGCAGAAGGAGGAATGAGGCTTGGGACAGGAATTCACAAATTAACCAAAGATACAGTATGTCATCATGGTTGTCAGCGATAGAGGGTCAATCTTTTTCCGCTAACTCTGCTACCTCTGACATCTCACTTTCTTTCTTTCTTTCTTTCTTTCTTTCTTTCTTTCTTTCTTTCTTTCTTTCTTTCTTTCTTTCTTTCTTTCTTTCTTTCTTTCTTTCTTTCTTTCTTTCTTTCTTTCTTTCTTTCTTTCTTTCTCAAAGGTCATATACAAGAAGTTCAACATCCCCTGCCCACTGGTGCCATATGGTAGAAATCACACAACAATCATCAACACCACCATGGAAGAGGAGGGACAGTGCGAAGGCAAAATGTTCACCATCAACCAGGAGGTTAGGAAATGGAGCGTTTACGGCACAGCTACACAAATATCAGTTCAAATATATATTTTAGTGTTTATTCCACATCAGCTCTGGTCTTAGGTTCTTACTGTGCTACAACCACATAAGGTTAGGAGCTATTTACAGTTGGAGCACAGGTCATTCAATATTCGAATGACTCTGTGCATCCATGCACATATCATGTTACTGCCGGGACAACTGGTTGTCCATGTGTATTGAGGCGGAGCAGAACCAATGTGGCACAATTGTCCACACAGTCTTGTGAGTTTCCTCAATCAATCCTCATGCGACGCCTCTAATTTTAGTTACGCTTTATATGGTTTCCAGACGGCGTATACCATCCCCATCTTGGCGTTCGCCTTTGTTTGTCACCCCGAGGTGCTTCCCATCTACACTGAACTGAAAAAGTAAGTTGATAAAACCATATGAATTCCCAATTAGCTCCCTTCACGAACACCATAGCATGTTGACATGACAACCTTTATCTTTCTTAACTGATAATAAATGTAACATCTTTACTGTCATCCCTGTACCTCATTAATTGATTAAAAAAAGAAAAAACGCATTCTTTTCCACCAAAGTGCCACCAAGAGGCGTATGCAGGGTATTGCGAATGTGTCCATCATGGGCATGTTCGTTATGTACCTCCTCACCGCCGTTTTTGGGTACCTCACCTTCTACGGTAAGACCAGGGCTTCAAGAGGGCTTTAGTTGTATACACTCTACAGAAAAAAAGAATGATTTTTGCATTTCAAATTATACTCAATTTGTGTGTGTGTGTGTGTGTGTGTGTGCATGCATGTTTGTGTGTGCGTGCGTGTGTGTATGCGTGTTTGTGTGCGTGCGTGTGTGTATGCGTGCTTGCGTATATATGTTTATGTAGTGAACACAGAATCTGAGCTCCTGCACACCTACAGCAAAGTGGACCCTCTGGACACACTGATCCTGTGTGTGCGTGTGGCCGTACTGGTGGCAGTCACCCTTACTGTCCCTGTGGTTCTCTTCCCTGTAAGAGCCTCCTCTCATTAGCTTTAATTACATATTTGAATTACTGTATTTCTAAGGACGCTTCAAATGGTTTGCATTTCAAACATTATTTGCATTTTAAAACCGACATAACCTAGATATTCCCACGGGGGGCCAGTATGAAAAATGTATGCACTCACTAACTGTAAGTCGCTCTGGATAAGAGCATCTGCTAAATGACTAAAATAAAAAATAAAAAGTTAAATATACAGGCAACTGCCATAATAAAGGAAACACCAACATAAAGTGTCTTAATAGGGTGTTGGGCCACTACGAGCCAGAACAGCTTCAATGCACCTTGGCATAGATTCAACAACTGTCTGGAACTCTAATGCAGGGATGCAACACTATTCTTCCATGATAAATTCCATCATTTGGTGTTTTGTTGATGGTGGTGGAAAACACTGTCTCAGGCGCCGCTCCAGAATCTCCCATAACTATTCAATTGGGTTGAGATCTGGTGACACGCGCACACATACACACACACACACACACACACTCCCTATGCTCCTTTGAGACCCCTCTTTCAAAGTCACTGAGAACTCTTATTTTAGCCATGGTAGCCAACATAATGGGCAACTAGGCATTTTTGAACATGACCCTAAGCATGATAATTAAGCATTAATTGCTTAATTAACTCAGGAACCACACCTGTGTGAAAGCACCTGCTTTCAATATAAATTGTTTCCTTTATTTTGGCAGTTAGTTGAATATCCATTTCACTCTAAATGTTAACTTACTGTGTCACACAGAATAGCTGACGCTGGGTTGTACATTCTATAACCTCTGTTCATTTAGATTGATTGACTTTAAATACCTCATAACTTGACAGCCATGTTTCAAGTTTCACCATAGACACTCCTCTGAGTCCTCTCTGTTGTGTATGGTTTCCAGATTCGCAGAGCCATTCTCCAGCTCCTGTTCCCAGCAAAACCCTTCCACTGGGCACGCCACATCACCATCGCCCTGTGTCTCCTCTGTGTGGTCAATGTGCTCGTCATCCTTGTGCCCAACATCCGAGACATCTTTGGCATCATTGGTGAGATTTATATGTTCATGAGTATAGGCTACTACAGTTCATCCAGCCTCAGAGGCTCATTCTCTCCATACTCACAAATCAATCAGACACACTGTACCATGTTTCATCATCATCATCATCATCATCATCCTTATTAACACTATAGGAAGAAAGACCTTCATATTGACATTCATTTTACATTACAAATGCCTCATACATGGTCCTCTGTAGCTCAATTGGTAGAGCATGGCGCTTGTAACGCCAGGGTAGTGGGTTCAATCCCCGGGACCACCCGTACGTAAAAATGTATGCACACATGACTGTAAGTCGCTATGGATAAAAGTGTCTGCTAAATGGCATATTATTATTATTATTACGGTACTTACCAGTGGAACACCTCATTGTCTCCTTTGTCTGTCCAGGGGCCACCACTGCACCTAGTCTGATCTTCATCCTCCCAGGATTATTCTACATCCGCATTGTTCCCACTGAACAAGAACCAATGAAGTCAAGACCAAAGATCACGGTAGGTCTTCACATCATTCATACATTTTACTGCCATTGTCTAGACACGTTTGTTAAAACTCTCCACACAATCCTCAGGTTTTGGCACCATATAGAATGACCCCTTTGCTACAGTTTGGAGTGGGTGGGTGGTATCACAATGGGTGCTAGTAAAAACATCCTAAACCCGGGTTTGGGTGGAGATTTCTAACAACATTAATGACTTAAAGGCGAATTCCAACGACTCTTTCTCTGGCTGGTTTCAGGCTGCCTGTTTCACAGCCATGGGCTTCATCTTCATGTCTATGAGCCTGACGTTCATCATTATCGACTGGACGACCGGAGAGAAACGAGCTGGAGGTGGCCATTAGAGCACATCCATTGACGATAGGGGTCCATACGCCACACAGCAGCACGCCCTGTCGCCGTGCCACTTCTCAATCCCGTCTGGATTGTGAGAAGGATCAAACACAGTCGAAAGGCTGGACCCTTTTTACCTTTTACCATACCTCCACGATGGTAAGACCATTTCCCCACCATTTCAAATCAAATGGACATGCTACACTTCCATGGAGGCGAGTCTTTGAGGAACCCAGTGATGTCACTATCTTTGTGGTAGGAGTTCGAGGAAGTGTCAGAGGAGCTGACGAGGGTACCTGTGAAAACCCATAAACCACTACTTGCTGCCTGTGTCAAAAGCCATTAAAAAAGTGACAGAGATAGAAGAGGGGAGGGGTTAATTTTCTCTATGCAAGGGGACTTGACCTCTTGAACAGTCAGGCTTCCCTCACTACCCAACTGCCAAACAATTCACCCCATGTTAGTTTCTCGATCAAATATCGGCTGTGGTTTAATTGACCAGTTTTAAGGAGAAGAGAAGAAAATTGATTTAATTTTATGACATTACACTATCTGTGAACCCCTAGATTTGGTTGTTGAACGTAATTTCAGCAACATTTGTTGAGGTAATTGACCAAGTTGAGAGACTGGTAGTGCCAGTTTTTCTCCGAAGCTGCAGACCATTTATAAACCAAATGAGCCAAGAATGATAAATCAAACACTTTTCTGTATGGTTGACCTATTTATATTTTATCACGTTGCTTCATGCCAAATAATGTGTTTACTCAAATGTTCCAGTTATCATGGAGCAACCAGTCTTTTCTGTATCTCTATTAGAATGAGAGAGATATAGTTCATACTTTTTGCTATCTCATCAGCTATCTAAATTCATCATTCTGCAGAATCAGTCTCTTCAAGATATTGCAAGTTTGGCTTTTAAATCTATTGGACAGTATGTCTTCAATTCGGTATCCATCTAGTCTTCACCACAATATTCTGAACAATGAAATGACACATTTCAAATCACATCATGAGCGTAGTGAACAAAACAACTGTGAAGTGAACCCAAAATACTTTGTACAGTATAGTTATCATACGTTCTCCTTTTGTGAAAATGTTTTATGCTGGTGCTATGCAAATAGGGAATCCGCAATAATGTCTCTGTATATTTGACATCCAACAAAGCAATGAGGCAATAATGAAGAAGCGAGTGCCATACAAACTGAATGATGACATTCAGCTGTGTCTTATTTGACATGTATAGTCTGTGCAGATTTTCGGTCATGTAATGCAGCATGTGCTGAGTCCCTGCTTATAATGATTTGTATAATGGAGACTGAGGTAATACTATTGAATAAGGTCAAATATTGACATACAATCAATAGATAATGTGGAGCAAGAGGATCTCAGAGCCCATTTGGGTGGCTGAATGTTTGTTTAGGAAGGACACGGCTGAGTGTCTTGGCGATTTCGTTACAAAAAGGTGATAGCTTTTTGTAATGGCACCAGCCTACTGTCTGTTGCTAAGCACATTTTGTGTTTGACATGGCACCATTGTCAATTATATTATATTTTCAATAAAGTCTAATGGTTGTCAGTATTTATTGAGACGTCTTTACTGTGATCCGCATGCTCTGTGTTTTTTGCTTTTCACAACATTCACAAATGATTGACAAATTAAATTGTAATTCTCCTTCAACATGCAGACAATAATAATTAAAGAGGCACTCCAACCACAATCAAGCTTTTTCAGGTTAGATTATTGGTTATAGACATGTTGATCGGTTTTGGTCCCAAGATTAACTGGTCAGTCAAACAACATTATTTTTGGCCTTTAATACCAAACTTTTAGAACTAGGCTGAAAAGGAAGTGGGGAACATAATGAAATCAATGCTCAATGAAATCGATTCCTCATAAAGAACATGGGTGGCATCATTCACACTAGATAAGTAGGCAATATCTTTGGTTTGACTTGCCATGACATATACCAATTTAATAAATATTCATAATATGACTACTTCTCACAAACCAGTCCCATGTTTCAGAATTTCCTCAGGAAGTGTAGACAAAATCAGGAAGGCTGGAGCTCCTCTATGGTTTCACATTTATTGGCAATGCAATTAACTATGAAGTACAGAGAATAAGCCAGGCAGCCAACCAGGATAAATAGTGTACAGACACTTACTACAGCCTCCATTAACCAGGGAACCACTACAGGTTTGAACATTTTTTTATTCGAGAGCACCATCAGTACATGCTTATAAGACAGACCTTAATTACCCGACAATCATTGATCTAACAAAACAAAGGCTGACCAACAGCACTCATGCTGCCCACACAACAATGTTCAGAGCGGTTCCGGATTCAGAGAGAGAACAACCTCTTTCCTGATGTGCTGCTCTTACATCACATAGCATAAAACAGAACAAGGAAGTCCTCGCTATAGATATATGTCTCCGCTTCTCCCTCTCAAGCATTCAGAAGTTTTAGGGGCCTCATAAGCTGTATCTGAACTTAACCCAGTGAGTCCCACTGTAACGCCAGTGCGTTTTGGACTTAAAAACCCTTTTAAACATTGTGTGTTTGAGCTACAGACTTCATTGTACCATTGGATTAGTCTATTTCCTCTGCATCCGTAGATACCATTAGTCTGTGTGATTAACGGGGGCTGAGCTAGAGCGGTGTTCGTGAGACAAGGGGCGGATCCCGAAGGGGCCGGGGGTCCAGTGGCGGTTTAAGATTAGGGAGGACGCTCATTTTTTTAATGAGCAGGCCTTATTTCTATTACAGCGTATCGGATTACTGTTATTCATATTCCATTCACCCAGCTCAATGTAACATCGATAGGTTTAGGCTACTACATGATACTCACATTTTCCCTATACCCATCATGAGGTTGCTACAACCTAGCTTATGAATGAAAGTTTACAACGTAGGTGCACAGGTCGAGAGAAATTTGAGTAATCAAGGTGACAGACAGTGACACATTCAATACCGCCTTGCACGCACTTACCTGCATATAGCTGATCTAGGGTGTAATCATTAGTCCAACAGTTGAAAACAAGAGTTTCTATTGGACAAATTCAGGTATGTTTATCCTTGTTTCGTTCTGTTTGCTTCCGTTTAAGAATGTTTTTCAACAGAATAGGCGGAATGAATACACCCCTGATCACACGCAAACACAGTTCACTTTCATAGCAGCCACATACAAACAGCATGATCACTTTGATAGTTGTAGCTATAAGTCCTTCTCGCATCTAAGCGCTCTCTCTCACCTTTTCCCTTCACTTGTGGACTTCAATGTACAACACATCAGCTGTCTGTGACATGGCGAAAAATCATTTCCAAACCAAACCCTTATATCATAACCGCTAACCTCTACACACAGCCTACATCATTGTCACCATTATTAGCTAACGCTATTGTCAACATAGCTACTAGAACTAACGTTTTAGCAAACCCGCTACAATCATGCAGTACAGTGTACAGTCAGCAAGCAGTTTTAGTAGTTACACCGGTGGGCCCAGTGGCAATAAATTAATAAAACCAAAAGCTTACCTTGACTTGGAAGAGTTCCAGTGTTGGATAGCTGTAGCCAGCTAGCTAACATAGCATCCCTCTCTGTTTGAGACGGTTGTTTGAGTAGGCTAAACTAGCTAGCTGCATTTGCTAGCTTAGTGAAAGTCAAAGTCAAAGAAAATACAATGAAATATAGCTAGCTCTCTCTCTTGCTTCTCCTTCATTAAAAAAAATATATATTTCTTCAAAAGTGTTCAACTATTGTCTTTCTCCCACATTTTATGCACTGCAGTGCTAGCTAGCTGTAGCTTATGCTTTCAGTACTAGATTAATTCTCTGATCCTTTGATTGGGTGAACAACATATCAGTTCATGCTGCAAAAGCGCTGATAGGTTGGAGGACGTCCTCTGAACGTTGTCATAATCACCGTGTAAGTCTATGGAAGATGGTGAGAACCATGAGCCTCCTAGGTTTGATATTGAAGTCAGTGTACCCAGAGGAGGATGGAAACTATCTGTCCTCGGGCTACACCATGGTGCTACCCTAGACATTTACATTATATTTTAGTCATTTAGCAGACGCTCTTATCCAGAGCGACTTACAGTTAGTGAATACATTATTTTATTTTTATACTGGCCCCCCGTGGGAATCGAACCCACAACCCTGGCGTTGCAAACGCCATGCTCTATCAACTGAGCTACATCCCTGCCGGCCATTCCCTCCCCTACCCTGGACGACGCTGGGCCAATTGTGCGCCGCCCATGAGTCTCCCGGTCGCGGCCGGCTGCGACAGAGCCTGGATACGAACCAGGATCTCTAGTGGCACAGTTAGCACTGCGATGCAGTGCCTTAGACCACTGCGCCACTCAGGAGCGCTGTTGAGTGTGTTTTAATCAATATTTGGTGGCTTGTGAATATATTTAGTATAGTTTTATCTAAAAATATCACTTTTTAATGTTTCACAATTTTATTTTTATGAAATTCACTGAGGAGGATGGTCCTCCCCTTCCTCCTCTAAGGAGCCTCCACTGCTGGGGCCTGGTATTTTTACAAAAACGTCTGTAGAGTCTGAATGGTTTGAGCTACAAACTATTAAACGCTATCTATGAGAAGCTGAGACTCTCACAAACATGTTTTGCTTCATGACTCTCACAAGCTACACAAGAGTCATTAGAAGGTAAGGGGTTCATCTACATAGAAGATCATATGAAATCCCAGGACATAGTGTCTATAATACTGTAATAAGCACACATAGTTGCTGTCACAAACTCCAAACTCCACACAGTTGTCACTGACTAGTTGGATATTAATTTCCCAGTGAGAAAACAAAAGCTGTACTTATGGCATTCATATAAATTCATTTTTATCAGGTTTTTGCTTTGGCGGATCTTATTTGTTTTGTTGACATTTGTCATTAAAATTCATGAATGCAACTGTTTATGTCAAATTGTATTGTGTAGTAATTGTAGCCCTGGTTGTCCTGATAATAAAATGGTAAAACACTTAATTGTGAGGCTAAATATAAGGGCTGGATATGCAGATAAATGAATGTCAGATCAATTAAAAGGATTGGATAGGTACAGTTGAGGTCGGAAGTTTACATACACTTAGGTTGGAGTCATTCAACCACTCCACAAATTTCTTCTTAACAAACTATAGTTTTGGCAAGTCGGTTAGGACATCTACATTGTGCATGACACAAGTAATTTTTCCAACAATTGTTTACAGACAGATTATTTCACTTATAATTCACTGTATCACAATTCCAGTGGGTCAGAAGTTAACATACACTAAGTTGACTGTGCATTTAAACAGCTTGGAAAATTATAGAAAATGATGTCATGGCTTTAGAAGCTTCTGATAGGCTAATTGACATCATTTGAGTCAATTGGACGTGTACCTGTAGATGTATTTCAAGGCCTACCTTCAAACTCAGTGCCTCTTTGCTTGACATCATGGGAAAATCAAAAGAAATCAGCCAAGATCTCAGAAAAACAATTGTAGACCTCCACAAGTCTGGTTCATTCTTGGGAGCAATTTCCAAACACCTGAAGGTACCACGTTCATCTTTACAAACAATAGTACACAAGTATAAACACCATGGGACCACGCAGCCGTCATACCGCTCAGGAAGGAGACGTGTTCTGTCTCCTAGAGATTAACGTACTTTGGTGCGAAAGTGAAAATCAATCCCAGAACAACAGCAAAGGACCTTGTGAAGATGCTGGACGAAACAGGTTCAAAAGTATCTATATCCACAGTAAAACGAGTCCTATATCGACATAACCTGAAAGGCCGCTCAGCAAGTCTTGCTGCTTTTGTCTTGCTGCTTTTTGTTCTATGCTGCTCTGTCTGTATGCTACGTCTTGCTTGTCCTATGTTGCTATGTCTGTATGCTATGTCTTGTTCTATGTTGTTATTGTCTATATTGTAATTGTTTTTAATAACCTGCCCAGGGACTGCGGTTGAAAATTAGCCGGCTGGCTAAAACCGGCACTTTTACTGAAACGTTGATTAATGTGCACTGTCCCTGTAAAAATAAACTTAAACTCAAACTCAAACTCAAGGAAGAAGCCACTGCTCCAAAAACGCCATAAAAAAGCCAGACTACGGTTTGCAACTGCACATGGGGACAAAGATCGTACTTTTTGGAGAAATGTCCTCTGGTCTGATGAAACAAAAATAGAACTGTTTGGCCATAATGACCATCGTTATGTTTGGAGGAAAAAGGCGGTGGCTTGTAAGCCGAAGAACACCATCCCAACCGTGAAGCACGGGGGTGGCAGCATCATGCTGTGGGAGTGCTTTGCTGCAGGAGGGACTGGTGCAGCTCACAAAATAGATGGCATCATGAGGAAGGAAAGTTATGTGGATATATTGAAGCAACATCTCAAGACATCAGTCAGGAAGTTAAAGCTTGGTCGCAAATGGGTCTTCCAAATGGACAATGACCCCAAGCATACTTCCAAAGTTGTGGCAAAATGGCTTAAGGACAACAAAGTCAAGGTATTGGAGTGGCCATCACAAAGCCCTGACCTCAATCCTATAGAACATTTGTGGGCAGAACAGAAAAGGTGTGTGCGAGCAAGGAGGCCTACAAACCTGACTCAGTTATACCAGCTCTGTCAGGAGGAATGGGCCAAAATTCACCCAACTTATTGTGGGAAGCTTGTGGAAGGCTACC